GATGAAGAAGAAAAAAAAGTATGATGATGAAGATGACGGTAATAATGATGATGATCATAAAAAAAAATCATCATGATCATCATTATTGACTGTGATAGTTGTTGTAATAATAGTAATAGTAGTAGTGGTGGTGGATGATGATGATGATAGTGTTTGGGATGATGATGAGGATAATGATGATGGTGGTGATGAAACGTCAACGCGTTCATATTATTTATATATATATATATATATATATATATACAGAGAGAGAGAGAGAGAGAGAGAGAGAGAGAGAGAGAGAGATTATTCCTTTAGAGATTATTGAAATAACAATGACTATGAGGGTGATGATGACGACGATGATGATGCTATTGACGAGGTATGATGAATCACAAATGTTCAATCATCAAAATGAGTGACAGTGGTGATGATATTCAAAATGATAACGATGATTCAAGTAAAGAACCGTGCGGAGCCGGTTTAGATAACATTTGTATAATGCTACTAAACAGAACTAACCGACAAAGAAATTGAAATAAAGAACACATGCACATACACACACAGTGACATAGCGAGGAATGTAAGGTGCAATTTTTATTCTTTTTATTTGCTCAAAAACATAAGAGAGATACATTCTGTCGGGTATAGAAAAATACTGGACGGTTCGTATGTAATAATATTCAAGATAATATCAATGTTATCTATCATTTTAATTATATTTGACATGCTATTTGAATTAATCGCGTTTTTAATGTATTTTAGAGGACTACATTTTGTATAACATCGGGTTCTGCTTATAATTACTATAATTACCCATTGTAATATATATCCGGCGATAAACAAAAATGATATATATATATATATATATATATATATATATATGTGTGTGTGTGTGTGTGTGTGTGTGTGTGTGTGTGCGTGAATTTGATTGGCGTTTAAAAATGATTTAAAACGATTTTAGTTTAATAAATTTCAAATAAGTATTACTGGACAAATAGAAATACGTTGCCTCTTTCTATGGCATAATTCTACTCATAATCATTTTTTGTGTTCATCTTGGAATAATTCATTTTACGTGGGGAGGGGGTGCCAGACCAGAGTGGGGCACCAGAGTGGTCAGTTTTGCCCGCTACGTCACTGCACACACGCAGATGCAAATTATACTAAACAGCAAACAAAACAAAACCGTATTTAGCAACAAAAATTATTGCTACGGTGCTGGCTGAAGTAAATTTTGTTTAAATTTTTCGAGTTAAACAACCAGTACAAAATACTAAACTAATAAATCGGCAACATGGTTTAACAGTTAAGACGACCGGCAGGGTTTGGATTCGATCGCAAAGAGAAACCCGCTTATCACATACCATAACATACAATGTGTGTGGCGCGTTTTATGCGTGTTGACATATTCACATGCGATGTGTGTCTGTATGTTTGTCTGTCTCTTTCTCTCTCTCTCTCTCTCTCTCTCTCTCTCTCTTTCTCTTTTTCTCTCTTTCTCTGAGTGTGTGGAGTGTGTGTGGTGTGTATGTGTGTGTTGTTGACAACCTTGAAAACTATATACAATTTAAAACATACAATAGAGAATAATTAATATTATTCATTTCATTTAATAATATAAAAAGTACAGAACGCCTTCTAAATACAAGAGAGCATAAAGAAACACAACTCACAAAAACAAACGAATAAACCTACAAACTAACAAACGAATAAACCTATAAACTAACAAACGAACGAATGAACGAACGAACAAACAAACATGCAATTAAACGAACAAACACATCACGAACACGCACACAGACACACAGTTAATCTAAGAAACAGCACAAATCATTCGCTAAAATAAGCACTGGTTTGGCTGGTAGCAGGCAGGCAGGCAGGCAGGCACGCATATCCTCACAACATCCATCATCAAACATTTGATATACAGCACGAAATACAAAGCATACAATATTTAATACAAAACATACAGCGTACTATATACAATTTAAAACATACAAAGGCAATACAAGGCATACATCACAAAAGATGCAACAAACAAATAAGCAACAAACAATACACAACAGACAAATCGAACGACATGTTCAGTCTTAAGCAACATAAAAACGAGCAAACCACCATACAACAACATATATATACACATACATACAGAAATACAATACAAACATAAAACACACAATACAAACATGCAGCATATAATACAAACTTACCGCATACAAACCAGACACATACAAAGTATACAATACAATAAAATACAGAAGACATGGTAGTATTGAAAAGTAAGCGGATGAGACGACGACGTATCAAATTACACAAACAAAAATACGATCATTAATACAAAACATGCGCGTAATATCAATATATACATACATACATACATACATACATACATACATACATACATACATACATACATACATACACACACACACACACACATACATACATACATACATACATACATACATACATACATACATACATACATACATACATACATACATACATACATACACACACACACACACACACACACACACACACACACACACACACACACATACATACATACATACATACATACATACATACATACATACATATATACATACATACATACATACATACATACATACATACATACATACATACNTACATACATACATACATACATACATACATACATACATACATACAT